GAGGGGAGGGGGGAGGGGAGGTGGGGAGGGGGAGGTGGGGGAGAGTTGAGGAGGGGAGGGATGGGGAAGGGATGGTGGGGGAAGGGGATGGGGGAGGGGGAGGAGGGGGGGGAGAGGTTGGGGAGGGGAGAGGTTGGGGAGGGGGAGAGTGTTAGGGAGGGGGGAGTGGGGGAGGTGAGGTGGTGGGGAGGAAGGAGGAATGTGGGGGAGGAGGTGGGGGAGAGGAGGGAGGGGGAGGGGGGGGAAGGAGAAGGGGATGGGGGAAGGAGGGGATGGGGGAGGGGAGGAGGGGAGGGGAGGTTGGGGAGGAGGGGGGGGGGGGAGGAAGAGGGGGTGGGGAGGAAGAGGGGGGGGGGAGGAAGAGGGGTGGGGGGAGGAAGAGGGGAGGGGAGAAGAGGGGAATGGGGGGAGGAGGGTGGGGGAGAGAGGAGGAGGAGGGGTAAGAAGGGATGGGGGAAGAGGGAAGGGGTGGGGGAGGGGGAGGGGGAGAGGGGAGAGGTTGGGGGAGGGGAGAGTGTTAGGGAGGGGAGGGGAGGAAGGAGGGGGTGTGGGGAGGAGAGGTGGGGGAGGAGGTGGGGGGGAGAGAGGGTGGGAGGGGAAGGAGAAGGGGATGGGTGAGGGGGGAGGGGATGGGGTGGGGAGGGGGAGGGAGGGGAGGGGAGAGGTTGGGGAGGGGAGGTTAGGGGAGGGGGATTGGGGGGGGGGGCAGAAAGTGGTGGTAATGAGGAGGGACGAGGTTTGTGATACACTGAGGCAATATTCTGGGGTACACTTAATATTTCCTGGTACACTTTACACACTCTAGGTAACACTTTATTACTTCAAGAATTTATTAATACTCTGGTACATTACATAACCCTGGTACACTTACACACCTGGCAAATTCTTTGATACCCCGGTCACACTTACACTAATGAAGAGTGCCTAAAGCATAAATAAAGAAAGATTAAATAAATATTGATACGAGGAGTTAACTTTTACGTGTACTGAGGAAGTTACGTAACCTGTGTGTGGTGTGTGTGTGTGTGTGTGTGTGTGTGTGTGTGTGTGTGTGTGTGTGTGTGTGTGTGTGTGTGTGTGTGTGTGTGCATGTGTGTGTGTGTGTGTGTGTGTGTGTGTGTGTGTGTGTGTGTGTGTGTGTGTGTGTGTGTGTGTGTGTGTGTGTGTGAGTGTGTGTGTGTTTTGTGCTAAGTGTATTTAGCAAGACTACAATACTACTACTAACAACACACATACCATTACTACTATACTACACACACACTACTACACATTTACTTCCCACTGCAGGAGGTAGGTGTGCATACTTACGAGGAGTGTAACAGAGGTGGTGAGGTAAACAAGGCATAGATGGCACAGATCAACATAAACCACTTGTTTACAGGAGTGTGACTATGTGTGTGTGTGTGTGTGTGTGTGTGTGAGTGAGTGTGAGCGTGTGTGTGTGGCGTGTGCGTGTGTGTGTGTGTGTGTGTGTGTGTGTGTGTGAGCGTGTGTGTGTGTGTGTGAGTGTGTGTGTGTGTGTGTGTGTGTGTGTGTGTGTGTGTGTGTGCATGTGTGTGTGTGTGTGTGTGTTTGTGTGTGTGAGTGTGTGTGTGTGAGCGGTGTGTGTGATGTGTGTGTGGAGTGTGTGTGTGAGCGTGTGTGGTGTGGTGTGTGACTCACTGAAGATTAAAACATTCTAACTTATTTCACGTGCTAATTAAATATACTTTATGCTAGGTTAGTGAGGTAAGTTCCTGCCTAGGTGCTGTTTTGCAGGTGTGGTTCAGCTTGTTCCCCTGAGATAAAAACTTTATTTATATGTACCACGACCACACCTGGTTGTTTTTACTAGAGGCTTAGTAATCTTTAAAGAAGCGTTGGGTGACACACGGAGATAAACACGCGATACATACATACATATATACATACATACATACATACATACATACATACATACATACATACATACATAATGTTTGTTTTGTGAATATACATTGAATTAAAAATAATGTCACCACATCATTTTTTGTCGACAGATACTTAGTAAATATATATACAAAAAACCCATATTGACCATGGCTGGACGTCATCGTAAACAATCTTCATAAAAAAAATAAAAAATTAAATAAAATAAAAATAAAAATTAAAATAAAATCATATAATACTAATTTCCACACGATTATATAGTACAAGTTATAATGACCTACGAACTAATAAGGTATTATACATTATTTACCTGTAATTATCAAGCTTAATGAGGCTCAGGTCAGTCCTAATGGTGACCAATCTTAGGGTTATGTTAAATTATACCAGGGGTCTGATGCACCTGGGGGTCTGTTATATCTGGGGTGTCTTGTTGTTTGGGTCTGTTGTTTTTGGGGTCTGTTGTATTCTGGGTCTGTTGTATCTGGGTCTTTTTCTGGGTCTGTTGTATCGGGGTCTGTTGTATCTGGGGTCTGTTGTATCTGGGGTCTGTTGTACTGGGGTCTGTTGTTTTGGGGGTCTGTTGTATCTGGGG